CGAATGTTTTGAGAATGATGAGGGCAACAAATGTACATACGTGCTTGACACAATGGATGTATGTATGGATTGTGATAAGAATTGTATGAGCCCCCAATAAAATAATTAAAAAATTCAAGAACAATTTTAATAGCTCTTTAGAAGATAATTTGTTCCACAAGAAGGTTTAAGAAAAACTAATTATTGTGGAGTATCTGAACGCTACATTGAAAATCCATTTCCTCTTTGCTTCAGGTTGGCAAATGTATGAAAACATCAGACCAAACAGTGGCCATGGTAAAAAAATTATTAGAAAGAGTGGACTATGAAGTACTATGGATACACTTCTGAATACTCTTATGTGAAGTAGAGAAGTCTGAACAAGAAAAGTCTAATTTTAGTTCAAGATTATTCCAGATACATTTTTCCTCCGAATGTTTTCTGTATTTTAAGTTTTTTTTAACCACTATTAAGTATTTTTAGCCTCACTTATGCCAGAATATTAATAGAAAAACACAAAACAGAAAACAAAGGAACAAAACCCAAATGAACGGCTTATGAGATGCGACATTTGAAATCATAGCTTGCAGTCTGGCTATCCTAGATGTTAACCTTATGAATTCATCTCTCTCACTGGCCATTCTGCGTGAATTCCTAAATCTAAATGAGTGGGGGAGGTGTCAGCTGTATAGAACCGTGAGGAGTATCGAATGTATAAAAGTGCTGGAAAATACAAGTATACAGATGCTCTACCTTAATAGGTTATTAGCTTCTAGAGAGAAAGCTTTTTTGAATTACTTCTTTACTCTCATGTCCTGGACATAGAACATGTTTGTTGTATGAATGGAAAGGGAGATTAAGTTCCTAACCAGTCTATGGCCCCTGATTAGCAATATAAGTAGCATATTCTAAAAATACAGAAAGCCACACTTCCAAAAACTGTATTGATGGCATTGATCGAAATGATTGCATCTCTTACCTGTGGTCGGATTCCACACTGAAAGTGAGAGTACTGAAATATAAGTTCTTCTGCTTCCACCTGAGTTGCTGGACAGCCAGTTCCCAAATATAATTCCCTAGGGTCTAAAATCTCATCTCTACTAAACAGAGTTCTCTTAACTGTAGCGCGGAAAAGAATTTCATTGCATTGCACCGACACTATTGAGAGACAAGAAATAAAGACATAAATAATAAATAATCATTCAGGAGTTCTGCTTTTGTGACCCGTTCAAAGCAGTGTGAGCAGGATTAGGTAATGTTAAGGAAGACTGTCTTCAGCTAAAAGAAATGAAAAACTTGAAGATATTTTAAGAAATGAGTCCCTTCACATTACCACTCATCGCTTTCTCTCTCTCTAAAATAATCATCCTTCCTTCCAGGCAACCCCCAAATAGAATCAGCCCACGAAGAGACTGAGGTGGGCATCTCCTTGGGCCTCACTTTGCCAAGGAACATATCCATATCTATACTGGAGCACTCATACTATTTACGACGTTCTCTGCTATTTAGTGTCCTGGTTCAAACTTGAACCCTTGAAAATAGATCATGTGTTACTGTTTTGCACATGGCTGTGTGCCACATGGTGGTCTTGCCATTGAGTTTATTTCAACTCATGATGAGCTCATGTGCTAGAGCAGAACTGCTCCATTGGGTTTTCTTGGCTACGATCTTAATGGAAGCAGATAACCAGGTTGTTCTTGTAGTGTTGGAGAGTGAGATTGGAACCACCAGTCTCTAGGATAGGAATCAAGAGCAAGCCATTTGCATCATCTACTTTTCCTTTTGAGTATTTAGAACAGGTTATATGAAGGAGATCCAAAAAGGTTGTGGAAAAATAGAATTAAAAAATAATGGGATTTTTCCTCAAAGACTTTTTGAAGCCCTTAATAAATCTGCAAGATTGAAACATTAGCACCTGTCTCCTCTCAGGAAGATAACCAAGTCTCTGTGGTTGAGATGGTCTGAATATGTTCCAGGAAGTCTTGCACCAGATTCTGCCCAGGTCCTGAAGAGAGACTGTGCAATGCGAGTGGGAAACAAGCAGTCAACAAGGACTTCCTGCAGATTTTCAAGGTGCAATCACACATGGGCTCTCAGCCTAGATAGAGGTCAGCCTTTGTAGGTGCTTCACCTAGGTCTCTGGAGGGAAGCCCTGGGGTTTTAAGGAGGGAGAGAAGGGCAATTAGATAAGGGA